AGGTGGCCGCCTCGAGGGCCTGGCGGCGGGCGGGCCAAGCAGAGGGCCTTCGGCCCGCGGCGGGCACTTCTCCTCCCAGCCGCCCCTGGCCTCCCCGAGACGCCACGGGCGCCCCCTTTCGGCACTTGTGGCAGGTCCCGAGGCTCCGCCTGCAGCTTCCGCGGGTTCAAGACCCGGCAGCCACCCCCGGCGGGCCCGGGAAGAACCCGAACCTCCTCCGCGACGTGGAGCTTGACGGGGGGTGGGGGCCGCGAGCAGCCTGGGAGGCCGCCCAGGCTTGGGGCCGTCCTCCCGCGGGGGTGGCGCATCCCGAACCAAAGGCTTCTGGCCAGCGAATGGGGGGGGGGGCTTGCTCAGGACCCAAGAGGACCACTGAAAGCCGCGGCTCTGGCAGCGAGCGGGGCGAGAGCTGCGGGGGGTGGAGCGCAGGGCCAGAGGCGGGCCGTCGGGCTCGGGGTCCCTCTCGCCTTTGGCCCCATCGGGGAGCTGTCGCGCACACGCCGGGCGCACCCCTCGCGCCGCGGTCCCACCGGCTGCCTCGCGGCGTCCGTCTCTTGGGGCGAGATCCGGCGGGCCGCTGCGCAAGACGGGGGGGGGGGGGGGCGGGGGGGGCGGCCGGGGTGCCGGGGGCGGGGGGCGGGGGGGGGGGGAGGGCTGAGGAGCGCGGCTGGGTTCCGGGCGGCGGGGCAGAGGCCGTGGCGAACCCCCTTGCGCGGGTGCGGCTCATGGGGCTTTCTCCCCTGCGCCCCTTCCCGCCCCTCTCCCCCAGGACCTCGCTGGAGGCAGGCGCGGGAACTGAAGCCGCTCTCCAGGAAGGCGAACGCCGACGAGCCGCGAGGGGAGGGAAGCGCAGAGTTCACGCGAGCCAAGCCCGGGCTCTGCCCCGAGAAGGGATTCTCCGCGGGGCCGGGACCTGGCAGTGCAGGGCGGGCTCGCCTCGCGAAGTGCACCACGGGCAGCGGGAGAGCCACCCTCCCGCTGGGCTGTTTGCGGGCGGGGGTCGCGGCTCGAGCGGGGAGGAGGAAGGAAAGAGGGTGCAAGGAGAGGCCGCCGTGCCGGGGGGCTTGCGAGGGCTCCTGCGGCCCCGCCCCGCCCTGCCCCGCTCCCCTCGTCCTCCCCCGGCGCGGGTCTTTTGAAAGTAAAAGGCGACCCCCCCCCCACACACACACACACTGGTTTGGCCTCGAGGCCTCCATCTCCCCGGCACGAATCCTGCCAAAGCGTCCCTGCCTAGTTTTTGTCGCTGCAAGTGGGTTGTCACCTGAGCAAGAACGTCGGAACGTGCCCCGCCTGGGTCGCGGGCGTCGGGGTCGCGCGAGCTTCTGCACGAGCAAAGCCCGCTCCCCCCGCCCGGCCTCCGCCTCCCCTGCACCCGGGGGCGGCCAGCGCGCTCCGCTCCGCGCATTCACGGGGGACCCGCAAAGGGAAGCGGCCTGCGTTGTTCGCACCAGGCACGAAGGGGGCTGCGGAGCCGCGAGCTCGGCGGGGGGACCCCGGGCCTGCGGGCTGCAGGGGCTTGAGGAAACCGCGCGTCCGTGCTCAGTCCCGGGCTCCCTCCGCACAGCGCTGGGAAGGTCTCGGCCGGCCTCTCCGCGCAGAGAGCTCCCTCCGGGACGGAGCCGGGGCGCTGCTTCGCGCGAGCAGCTTTGCACCCCCCCCCCCATTCTGCTCCGCTTGTGGGCACGGGCAGTCAGCTGCCGCGCCGCGCCGCCGCATCGCCCCCGCCTGCGCGATCCTGCGAACGAGCGCCCTGCAGGGGGCTGCCGCCGCCTCGTGGAGCCGACCCCCCATCGCGGGCCGCCCTTTTCTTCCGCCCTGGCAGGACTGGCCTCTCCGGCGAATCGGTCGGTTCCGTCAGGACTTTATTTTTAAAACGCCTCTCCAGCTGGGGCCCTTTTGGGGACAAAAGCAGTCCGTCAAGGTGATCGCAAACAAGCAGGCCTCGCCCCCGTCCCACAGCCGCCCGCCGCTCCCGCGTGGGGAGCAAAACGCGGAGCAACCCCCTCCCCACCCCGTCGCCCGGGCCGGGCCGGCGCTGGCGAGGTCGCGCTTTGCGCGGGTGACCCCTCGCGGGGAGCTTGCGCCGCCGCCTGCCGCTCCCGGGGCGGCCTCGGTCCTCGCGAGAAGCGCCTCCCGCCCCGGCGAGCGCGCAGCGTCACGGCCTGCGGGGGCACAGGCGGGGGGGGCGGGGGCGCAGAGGAAAGGCGAGCCCCGGCGCGCTTCGGTGCCTTCCCCGGCTCCTCGTCCGGCCGTCCTGGCGCTGCCGGCCAGAGGGCCGCCTCGGTCCCGGTCCCCTCAGCTGCGGCTCCTCTCCCGTCGCGAGGAGCGCCCGGGGGCGAGGTGCCCGCGGCGCCGGCACGTGGCCGCCTCCTTCCCGCTGCTTCGGCGCGGCGTGCGAGTGTCCCAGATTCGCGGGGCTGGCATCCAGACGGCCTCGAATGACCTGTCCGCGCCGGGTTCAGTTGGCCCCCCCGAGCATGGCATGGCCCCTTCTTCCCTGGTGCAGCCGCCGCAGTGGGAAGCCTCCTCCCTCTCCCGTTCACCCTCTTGGCGTCGCTGGGCCTCCCGCTTGCCCACGTTTCCTGGGAACTGCTGCGCACACACGTGTCCCCGCCGCCCCTCTCCGCACCCCCCCTGCCCAACCGGCTCCGCTGCTCTAGCAAAGGGGACGGAGCCACGTGGGGGAGCCACTGGGGACCTGCAGCTGATGGGTCGTGGTCAGCTGAGTGCCTGGACTGCAGGTGAAGGGCGATGGGAACTGCAATCCAGCAATATCCTGTAGAGGATTTGGGGTTCAGCTCAAAGCAGGGAGGTGGTTTTGAGACTTGGCAAACTTCTGGGTTACACAGAGCTCCTCCGCACAATGGGTGGAGCTCAGCCGAAATCACAGAATGGCCGGGAGGCAGGGTGCGCCGCAGCTGCTGGGCAGGCTGAGGAGCCCCGGAGGCCAGGCGGGGGAGGGCCTCCAGGTGGAGGGGGCTCCCGGCACTGCCCCTCGCGAGGGTCTCTCTGCCGGGCTTGCCCTGCTGCAAGGGCGGGTGGGGAAACACAGGCCAGTGTGACGGGGGCTGCAGGTTCTGTGACTGAGGTGCAAAAGCCGCCCCTCAAGTGGAGGTGGAGCACTTGCATCTGACGTGGCGGCCCTTCCACTGTACCCCCCCCGCCCCGTTTCTGAGGCTAAGCTAAAAATCTAAAGCTTTTGATCTTTTACAGCAACCAAGCCCTAGAACTCAGTGACTTGCAGGCGATGACTTTATTCTGAAGTTCTAGTAACAGTTATCCATGAGGAACAAGTACAAAGAAAAATTTCCTATGGGAACGGATATGCAGGAGGGAGCCCTCCCTTGTGCCCCCCCCCCACATCCCATTTCGCTCTGAGCACATGCATGAGACGCTCGTGCGGGGGGAGGGCTTGGAGGCCTGAGGGAGCCCTGCCCCCAGGAGGGGAGGGAAGAGCCAACCACATCTGCCCCCCAGTTCCCTGGCAGGGCCAGTCTATCAGAAAGGGGCCCTCACCTGCCAGGGACCCAGAGCAGTGAACAAGGAGCAGAGCTGCTCTGGGGGGCTCGGCTGTCAGTCAGGGGGTTCACAGCACCCCCTCCCCACCTGTGGTCAGATCCCGGGGTGCCTGGACCCATGCAGCGCTCCCCCACCTCCTCCCATGAAATGTTAAATCACCCCCAAGGAAGCTCTGACACCCCACATCACTGATGGTGCAGAGGGAAAGCAGCGGGGGGGATGGGGGGGCCGGGATGGCTGAACCAGGCCAACTCTGCGGGGTCCAGCGTGAAGTTCAGTGCACTGCAAGGAGAACCGGAGAGTTTCACACACTGCGTATTTATAAATAATCTCTTTACATGATTCTAATATTGCACGTTAGTCAGTCTGAGAGCCACGCTAGAGAATGTAAGTGGGGAGCAGAGTGGGGCCAGACTGGGGAGGGAGGGGGGGGCAGATCACCAGGCCCCGATGCCCACGCTGCGGAGACTGAAGGTTGCCGCAACCTTGATGCCCCTCCATCAGACGACGCATCACCCAGCTCCGTCGCTATGTCAACCGTTGCTGGGTGCAGCTCTTGTGCGTCAGCCTGGTCACTAGGCCCCTCTGCCGTTGCCATGTCAACTGTTGCAAGGGGGGGCTTGGGCACCATGGCAGCAGCTGCTGAGCTCTCGGCGGAGATGGAAGGCGAGGCTGAGCCGGGAGAGGCTTCTGCCTTGCACCCCCCGGCCTGCCCCCACACGCACCCCCGCCGGTCCGGGGCCGTCTCCGGAAGCCTGGCCCAGTGGGGCCCCCATGCCAAGCGCCTCGCGCAGACCCGCAGGGGCCATTCCCAGAGCTGGGGCTCGGCTCCAGGGCACCCCAGCCTTCCTCGCAGACAAGGCCAGACCTGGCCTTCCCGAGACGAGAGGCAGCGCAGGCCGGCAGGTGACGCAGCAGCTGAGACGTCTTCACCACAGAAAGGGCAGCGGCGAGCGCAGGCCAGGGTCCTCTCCCTGCCCAATGTGTTCGGACGCCTAACTCCGGGGCCTGGATCGAGTTTAGAAATGCCCACCCCACCCCCAGGGGTGGCCAGCTCCCCCATGGGTGCGCACTTTGGAGCGCTTCCGAGCAGAGGAAGGCAGGGGCTCCCAGGGCACTGGGATTCAGGTCTGCGGACCAGCCAGCCATTCCAGCCAGCCAGCCGGCTTTCACACTGGCCCACTGCCGCCCCAGCAGGAGACCCATCTGGAGACTCCGCAGCCCCGCTGCCAGCCCCGGCCTGTTGCAGCCCCGCCAAGGGGGAAGGGGACAAGGTGGCATCTCTCGCTCTCCCCCCACCTTGGTAAGGGCAGGGGAAAGGGGGCCACTCACTCACAGGAAACAACCTTTTCCCAGTAAAATGTTAAGAGGCTCAGAAAGTGCTGCACTGCAGGAAAGAGGGAACGGGGATGGCAGGGAGGAAGGCGGGAGAGGGGAGGGCCGTGCGGGCAACCCCCTGTGGCCGCCTCGCTCTCCTGCCCCTAGATGTCGGACTCCAGCAGGTACTGCTCCGTGTAGTCCTTTGCCAGCTCCAGGCCCAGCGCCGACTGGCAGAAGGCGGCCATCTCGAGCCACAGGGTGGGCTGCAGGAAGAGCTGGCACATCACGCCGCCCTGCAGGGCGGGCACCTGGAGGCGGAGATGCCGGACCAGCTGGCTCTGGATGTGGGCCAGCTTGCCTCCAAAGACGTCGATGTTCAGGTAGAACCAGCCTTCGCCCAGCGGGATGCGGAAGGGCCGGGTGCTGAGCGTGGCCACAGTGGGCCGCAGCTTGCTGTCGACCACCCAGCAGAGGTCCTTCTCCTGCAGCAGGCCGAGGTTGCTCTCGGTGGCCTTGAAAGGCTGCCAGTCCTGGATGATGGTCTGGTTGGGCAGCACCTCGCTCCGGAAGGCCTCCGACAGGACCACCTCGGGCACCTCGCTCCCCACAAGGAGCTCCGAGGGCTCCAGGCAGAGGCCGCCCTCCGCCAGGGCCGCCAGCGTGGAGTCCAGCCGGGAAAGGAGCTCCTGCGCATGGAAGCGCACCAGCAGGATGCCCTGAGGACGGGTGGGGGGAGCGGGGTGGGAAGAGAGTGCCGGAGACCATCAAGGTCGCCCACCGGGGGGGTGCAGGCTCAGGGCGTTGCGGGGGGGCTGGGCTGGACTGACCTCGGTGCTGACCCCCTTTATTCTCCGAGTGCAGTGCTGACCTCTCCCCAGCTCACCCCAAGGGACGATGTGCCCTTCCTCCCTATGGAGGTAGGGAGGGTGAGGAGGGGGCTCCCCTGCTGGAACAGCCAGCGTACTTATGGGCACGAACACAGCTTGTGGGCGCAGAACCCCTCAGAAAAGCTCCCGTTCTGTCTTCCTCCTCTTATTAACACTTCTGCCCTCTTTTGGCTGATGCATTGCCAAAAATCGGTGGACAGATTCGCACAAAAGTTGCACGTGCCAATTTAGAAGTAAACAGGAAGACGAGCCACGTGCTTTCTGCTGGCACCAACAACTGTGGGTGGGCCAGGTCGACCCCCCCCCCCCCTCCTTGGCTTGAGCATCAGGGCCATGACAAGCAGTTCCCAGGCCAGGATGGGCTCTCAGGGCACAGACCACACGGGGTCAGCCTGGATTCAGGAGGAAGCACCTTTCTGAGATAAGAACGGTGCTGGAACACTGGCAGAGAAAAACTCAGGCATTTTCTCCTGAAAACAAGGAGGCAAAACAGCCGCTTGCCCGAGACACCTGGAAATTACCGCACGACACAGCCAAGAGCCACGGCGTGGCCTTCTCCCCGCTCTGCAGATGCCCTGCTCTGAGGAGGGGTGCTGAGGTCAGAAGCCAAACGACAGGCTGTCCCCACCAGCGACAGAGCCGGCACTGGAAGGCTCCCACCGTGTCCCGAGAAGACCCCAGCTAAGAGCTTGCTCCAGCCTACAGGGGCAGCCTGAAGCCGGGGGGGGGGGCATCGCTAGCACCCGCCCCGATCCAGGGGCTTCCTCCTGCGTCAGATGCACGCCCTGCCTGCTGAGCCGTTTTGCTGGCACCGCTGCCAGCCATGGCTCCCCAGGCCCGAGACAGGAGCCCCGGTGCCCTGCTGGGTGGAGCCGGGTGGGGGGGCGGGACTGAGCCGGGCAGGCTGCACCCAGAGCAGGGGCGCCCCTGAGCCTCCGCCGCCGCACAGGCTGGGTCCCCAGGGCACAAAGCGAGGGCTGGCCCAGGCGCCTCAGCTCAGCCTTCCTTTGCCGCCTCTCCCGAGCCTCTCCTGAGCGCTCGGGCCACCCCCAGCCTCCCCCTGCTGCTCCGGAGGGCGGCCCCACCGACGCCCCAGTGGCGGCTCCTGCCCCCACACAGGCCCTTCGTGCGCCTAGGGCGAAGAGGCTGCCGAGGAGGGGGGACCAGGCTGGAGGGCCAGGACCCCCAGCTGCTCCCCCCGCCTGCCTCGGGTCCCGCCACCCCCGCAGTGCATCCAGATGGGCAGGAGGCCCAAAGGGCAGAAGCCGGCGCGGCCCCCCCCCCCCGGAGGAGAATCGCCCCCCCCGCGCCTCCATCCCGGAAGGGGCGGGCGCAGCCCCTCTCCAGAGCCGCGCCGCCTGCGGGCGTGCGAGGCCCGGCTGGGGGCGGGTTGCTTCGGGAGCCCGCTCTGCAGCCGGGAGGGGGCGGCCGCCGCAGCGCCTGCCCCCCCCCCGAGG